GATAAGGAGTCTGTGTAACAGTTATTCCAGGTTTGGGATAAGGAGTCAGTGTAACAGTTATTCCAGGTTTGGGATAAGGAGTCAGTGTAACAGTTATTCCAGGTTTGGGATAAGGAGTCAGTGTAACAGTCCAGGTTTGGGATAAGCAGCCAATGGGTAACAGTGATTTTAGGGTTTGGATAAGTAGTGTTTAACAGTAATTCCAGGTTTGGGATAAGCAGCCCGTGTGTAAGAATTATTCCAGGTTTGGGATAAGCAGCCAGTGTTTTAGCAGTAATTCCAGGTCAGCTCTTTCCTAACAAATACTAACGGTGCCACCAAACAAATGGTGCCAGTTTTCTTGTCAGCAGCTTCCTGGGGCTCCAGTAACTCCTGGAGTTACTCCAGGCATGGAGAATGGTGCAGTAAAGCCTTTTTTTCAGTGCCAACACACTGACAAAGCACAGCAGCCAAGGAAGCGTGGTAATGTTTTCAAAAGTAGGAAAAAAGCTGTGGAAATGACAAGTTGGAAGCCAAGTCCCAGTGAAAAGGCAGGAAAGAGTCTCTGCTGAGCACAACAGCACCATGGAAAAGCACCACTAAAAGCAGAGGGCTGCAGGAAACACTTCAAGGGGATGAAGCTGCAAGAGCAGGACTTACATCGTATTTTATGTAGGGAAATGTCACAGGAGGCCGTGGCCTGATTCCCAAACTCCCACTGAGGGACAGAGGGCAGAAGAGGGAGCTGTGCTGGGAGAGGTGGACGATGCCAAGGGCCGTGTTCAGCAGCCTGTAAAAACTGCTCTGGGGATCCTGGGAGGGGGGAAAAACAACCCAACCTTTGGAATGTTAAAGGTGCAGATGAGCCCCAGGCTGGGCGTGGCAGCACCACCCAGGTTTGGTTCTCCCCAGGGTTTGGGGTTTACTTACCCCCACGTCACTCGTGGCCGGGGTGAGGCCCCAGGAGAGGATTCCCTTCCCTGAGTACTCGTCGTGGAGCAGCTCTGTCACCTTGGCACCAACCCCTGAGAACCCGTTGTGGAGGTCACAGAGGACCTGGAACCCCTGTGTGGAACGAGGGCAGCACCTCAGATACCACCTCATCTTGAGCAGGAGGCTTCTCAAAAGCAAAGGGAGCTTGTCCTGGGTTGTGAACCTGCAGGTAATCACACTCCTCCACAAAGAAGTGCAGCCGATCCTCCAGCTCCTCCACGCAGGCGGGATCCTGCAGGAGACTTTCCCCTTGTGCAAAGGCTTCCAGACAACCACAATCTCTGTGGGAAGAAACGGGTGGGAAAGAGCTTATTTCCAAGCCCTCTGAGTTCCTCCTTGAAGGCACAACTCGGCTGCTGTTCTGGACAAGAGGTTCCCGAGGCAGAGCTGGGCCGTACCCATCGTGCAGGTACTGCCGGATCACGTGGACACTCCGGGGGTGCAGGGGCACGTTGAGGTAATCGGACCAGAGCCTCACCGAGGGGGGGTCCTGGGACCCTGTGGGAGCTGCTCCTGCTGGGAAGAGCAAAGGTCCTTTCAGCTCTGAGCCTCCCCTCGAGAGAGAAGTCAGGTTTTGTGGAGGTTTTTTTGCTGTGCCCTCACCCACCCGTGTGCAAGCAAAGCCATCTTATCCCACTGCTTCCCTTCTCCTCATCGCTGTCAGGGCGTCCCACAGCAGCCCCCTGGCACAGGGGACCTTCTGGGACCCTCTGACCCAAATCTAAACCCAAACCCACCCCCCGGGCACCCACCTGGCACCGCAGCGCCGGGACCCCCCTTCCCGTCACAGGCAGCGTCTCCCTGCGGGACAAAAACCCGGCACGGGGCGTTACAGGGCAATTCCCATCACCCTTCCCCGGGGCAGGGAGCGATGCGGGACAAAAACCCGGCACGGGGGGGTTACGGGCGCTTCTCCTCGTCCCTCCCCGGCGCAGGGAGCGATGCGGGACCCGCTCTCACCGCGCGGTTCCCGCTGTCCCGGTTCCCGCTGTCCCGCGGCGCGTCCCGGTAATCGGCCACGGCCCCGTCCCTGCGACACAAAGCGGCGGCAGCTCCGGCGGCTCCGCATCATCCCCGCATCACCCCCGGCCCGCCCGCATCACCCACGGCCCGGCCCGCCCCGCACTCACCAGGGCACCGGAGCCTCCGCGCTCACCCCGTCGAGTGTCAGCGCGCCCACGCCGCCTGCAAGAGGAGAGCGCGGGCACGGTGATGCCCGGGCACGGTGACACCGCCCCGGGCACGGTGATACTGCCCCGGGCACAGTGACACTGCCCCGGGCACGGTGACACCGCCCCGGGCACAGTGACACCGCCCCGGGCACAGTGACACCGCCCCGGGCACGGTGACACTGCCCCGGGCACGGTGACACCGCCCCGGGCACGGTGACACCGCCCCGG